CCCACATCTGGTGGGGGAGAGTGGGGACACTCACCTTGGTGAACTGGACTGACAGAAAAGGATCAGCTTGGCTTGTGGGAAACTGTCACATATCAAAACAACTTTGCTTTTATACCGAGAAGAAAAACCACGGTGTGGAAGCCACAGACCTCTCTCTTCTAATAATCCAATTTTTTTTCGATGAGTGTGTACGCTGATAATCACGGGGTGGGGGGGGTTCTCATAGTTTTTTTTTTTTTCTCTCTCTCTCTCACTCGCTTGCTCTGTTTCTTCTCTTCTTGATTATGAGACTTAAACGGAAATTTTGAAATTTTGGGTTTTTTCTTTGCCCTTTACGAGTCATCTGAAAATATGATTTCTTCCCCTCACTACAGAGGTGAAAGGTATCAATGAGATAACAAGGCTCATGAGAAACCACAGTTTTTAAAACAATTGTGTAGAATTAGAAAAAAAGGGAATAGAACTCAAATAAATCACAGGGGCTTCTCAGGTAAGTAGAGGTGCTACTCCGTGAGTGAAGGGATATGTGAGGGTCTCCGAGGAAAGGGAGAGATGAACTACAGGCTATGCGTGGATGGGAAATGCCAGGGAAAGAAATTAAATAGGGTTGTATTTCCAGAGGCCTTGCTCTGGTCTAGGTCTGTTTACCCTTAAGTGGAATTGACATGGTCATCACGCTCTTACTGCCCAAGGATGGGGAGCTCTGGACGTTCTTGCAACCCATCTTCTCACTGAGGGTGAGGGGCATGGAAGTTAATTCACAGAGAAAAAATGCAGGGAGTCCCTCCCTACCCCCTCACAATTCACAGAATCCAAGAGTCTGGGAATCACTGGCTCCCAGAATCCACTGAACATCACTGAATGAGGAAAGGGAGAAAAGTCTTGCTTCATTATATCTTAGGGCCTGAGAACTCTGACCCAGAGGCTACACTACCAGGAAGGTCCCAACCAGGCCCCAGTATTAACATATCTATCCTCGCAAAGCCTGGAGAGGCCCGTTGGGACCCCAAACTTCTCATGGTCAGGTACATCATGTTCTGATGCTTCTGAGGCCCTCAGCCTTTGTAATTTTCTACTCTGACAAATCCCTGTTTCTAAGGATTTAGGATTCCAAATATCCACCATCATCCCCATAGCTGACAGGTATCTCAGATTTTCCATGTGCCAGGCACAGCACCGAACACTTCTCACAACGGATCACATTCAATCCTCACCACAGCCCTCGGAGATCCATCTGTCATCACGGCCGTTATACATATCGGGAAAACGGAGACATGAGGTAGTCCGGCAATGTGCCTGGGATCACAGAGCTGGTGAATAGGGGCCCTGTGTCCCATTGGTGGTGGCGTTTGAAACCTCCATGTTTCCTTGAGCACAATGGTCTCACGTTTTAAACTCTAGGCTGCAATGACAGGGAAGTTCTGAGATTTGGAGATTCTTCAGGGGGCTTGAAGGTTTCGGGTTGTCCAAGACTTGGTGGCTGCATTTCCTCACCTCAGTGAGCATTCCTTCCAATCAATGGTCAACAGGCGTGCGCAGCCCCAGGGGCTTCTCCAGATAAGCCATGGCTGAGACTTTCTGCCCCTGGCACTCCAGTGCTCTGCAGAGCCTAGGGTTCTGCCATCCAACGTCTACTCCAACCCGTCTGCAAGACTGGCTTCAGGCCTGGGGAACAGAAATTGAGAAGAGCTTATTCACATGGTATAAACCTCCTGTCCAAGACCCACCCACCCCTTCACTTCTTTTTCTCCCCATCACCTCCCAAGTTGTCAAAAGGAGGAGAGCCTCTTTCCTCCACTCAGACTTACCTTTCTGGAAAAGTGCAGAGGGGCCTGGTGGCCTGGCTTTGTAAAGACAAGAAAAAAAAAGTGAATAGAGAAAAAAGATCTAAAAAAAAAAAAAGACCAGCCAACAACAACAATAAAGAAAAAAAAAAACCGAACTCTCCCTACCATTAGTTCAAAACAATTTCACTGGTTGAGGCGCTTGAGGTGGTAGGACATGTCTGAGACCCAAAGATGGCCCATGTGTGCCGAGCAGCCAGGGGAGGCACCAAGTGGGGTAAGGTCTCAGGCTGGAGGCCTTTAGGGATCCGGCATACAGCAGGAGCTTAAAAGATGTGGCATGTGGTTAAGAGCAAGAGATGGGGTGAGGAACGTGCTTGTCAGGAAGGAGTCTGACTTTACGGATGTCCCCTTGCTCCTTGTGGACTTGAGGGGTCTGAACTATATAACTATAAACCAGGTCAGTTCTAGAAGCTGAGGCTCCATTCCCTGCCCCAGGACCTGTTCCCTCCTGAGAAAGGGGGCTCTTTTTTCCCTTTCAGAGTCCAAGGTGTGGGTTGCATCCTCCCCACAGGGCCCCTACCCATCCTCTCACTCTGTGAGAGGAGCACCAGCAAAGGAGGGAGAAGGCTGAGTGAGAGGTGATGCTGCTGCTGTTGGGGGCCAGGACTCATGCACAGCGAGGACCAAGGGGTCAAGTGGGTAGAGGCCGGGGTCACCACCTCTCTGCACTGGACTACATCCTCTCGCAGGGGAGGCTTCTGTGGGAGAGGGGACAGGATTAAATAGAGAGGTTGGCAAAAGTCCGCAGAGAAGTGGGCCTTTGACAAAGATTTGAAGGAGGTGATGGAGGAGTCATGTAGATGATATCTGAGCAATTCCAGAGGAAATAGCCAGTGCTAAGATCCTGATGTGGGAGTGTGCCTGATCTGCTCAAAATATACCAAGGAGGTCCGTGTGGTTAGAGTGGTGCAAGTGAGAGAAAGAGGGGTGGGAGTGAGGTAAGAGAGGGGATGGGGGGAAGGGGCATTGAACCATACAGGACCTTATAGCCCATGGTAAGGACCTTGGCTTTTACTGAGTGAGTAGGAGGCCATGGGAGGGTTGTGAGCAGGGGAGAGATGTGAACTGTCGTAGGATTTAACAGGATCCCTTTGATTGCTGAGTGTAGAATGGACTGTAGGAGTGAGGGTGGAAGCAGAGGCATCAGTGAGAGGAAGGCTACTGAAGCAATCCACTTGACTGATAATGGTGCTGGCAGTGAAGGGAGTGGGAGAGGGCATATTTGGGAAATATAGCAAATGGAGAGCTGACAGGATTTGTTGAAGGATGACAGTCTTAGGCCAGATCAGGACACAAAGGAGTTACTGGACTGCTTAACATCTTGAAATTTTAGGTGAGAGAAAAAAAAAAGTTCTATCTAGTTTAAGCCCATATTATTTTGTGTGGGTTTCCCTGTTATTTGCAACTAAACATATTAGTTCCTGGCCAATGACCCTATCCTGGACACAGACCTGAGGAGGGGAGCCAGCCAGGAGAACTGCCTTTCTCCTAGGGATGTTGTGAGTCAGAACCTTCCATACAGTGGGTGTTCAGAAAATCCTCCCAGGATGGAGGGAGAATGTATGAATGGTCATGTTCAGTGGACACAAGCTATAATTCTGTTCCCACAGGAGGCAGGGTCTCAAAGTAAGTGTGGAAGGGGAGTGAGAGGAGTTCATTAGACGACCAAGAAGGAGCAGTACTCTTGGAGGAGGGAACAGTAGGAGTAGAGACCCAGGACAGAAAGAAGGGAAGTGAGGCCACTGTGGGGTGTGGAGTTTGAGTCAGGCAAGAAAGACAGGGCTCTGATTTGTGATTACATTAGTCAATGTTTGCCAACATGCCCAACCAACTCCTGGATGCATACAGTCATCACTCAGTGTTTCTGAGCTGGAGTTAGAAAAAGCTAATCTTCCCCACAAAGCTCTGACTCTCATTTGGCCATTCACTCAAGAATGATGCCAAGTCTGGAGAATAATGAAGATGATAGTCAGGGGTATTAGTGGCTAGTGGTACCGCTCAAGTAAAGGCTTGGATCTGGGTCGGGCAGGCCCAGTAACTGACAGGAGAGGTCCGTTTTGCCTTCTTAGGTTTCACGCGAGAATGCAATCTAGGTCTTCAGGGGCTCTGGGCATTCACACTCTTGGGGCAACACGGAGTCACAGAGGATTAAGGAGAATGTAAATTCATCTATCAGAGGCGTACTCTTCCTAAGGGCTGCCTACATTCTACAGATCAGTGGCCTGATCACCCTATAGCTCAGGCGGCCTACGCACTGTCCTCTTCTCTGGCCTCCTTACTGGCTGTTCATCTCCTTCACAACACCTAAAACACCCCAGTTGGTTCTGCTGTTTGCAGTCCCGCCTCCGGGTCCTTCTACACCTTCTGGTTTCGGCATTGGTTCATCCCATTCTAGCACTGCCCTTTGCGGTTTCAACTGCTTTCACTCTGGCTCCCCCATTGGCTACCCGGCAGCTCTTCCTTGCTACTTCACCGCCCACCCCATTGGCTCTTCCCCTCCCCTCCCCGCGGAGGCTGCTGACACCACCTCCTGTTCACCTTTTTTAGCCTCCTTATTGGTTACTTCTGCCCTGGCACCGCCCCTTGAAGGCGTAGTGCACTTACAAGACTCTCTATTGGCTCACTGCAGCTATTATCGTCATCCTCTTACAGCACCAGCGCGCGGTTCCCCATTGGCTCCTCACTGTCTCTCTCTTCCGTCCCGCTACCTACGCAGCCCACGGATCTCCTACTTTTCTGGCCTTTCTGTTCACTCCCTGCTGCCCCCATCGCCTGTAGCCATTCCATTTTCCCCGCCACACCAGCTCACACTTCCCCATTAGCTATCCTACGTCTGCTCTTTTCATCCCGGGCCCGCACCCCCCACGCATTCAGCCTCTCCATTGATTCCTCGAGAATCCCGCCTCCTACACCGCCCACTCTCGGGCATCCCCATTGGTTGTGTGCTTCCCCTGCACGCGCTTCATCGCCTACGTCACGCATGCGCGGCTCCCCATTGGCTCTCCGCTATACCTGTCTTCGTCTCACCGCCTACGTCCCCCGTGAGTCGTAACCCCCCGCCCGCGCTGGCCTTCCCATTGGCTGCCCGCCCCTTCAGGCCCTGCCCCCGCCGGTCCCGCCGCCGGTGCCGTCGGTGCCGCCGCCGCCGCCAATATGGCGCGCACGGCCCCTGTGGAGCCCCCGCTGCGGCATCCCGCGCCCCCCTCGCTGGCCTCGGGCGAGCCCCGCACCTCAGTAGAGGCAGCGGTGGCCCCGCGGAGGGTGCTGTTCGCCGACGAGGCCCTGGGGCTGCCGCTGGCGCAGCTGCGCCGCTACCGGCCATGGGGCGGGCCCGGGGCGGGCAAGATGGCGGCGGCGGCCGGGCAAGATGGCGACGGCGGCGGGGCTGAGGACGACGATGGCGAGGATGGGGATGAAGGGGAGGAGGAAGAGGAGGCTTGCCCCGAGCCCTTGCCGCTGTGCCCCGTTCCCGCTGGCGGGGGGTTTTACCTGGTGCCCACATTTTCGCTGCCGCCCGCGCCGGGCCGTCTGGAGCGCTTGGGGCGCGTCATGGTGGAGCTGGAGGCGCTGCTGCCGCCTCCCGGAGCAGTCCCCGGGGGTGCCGGGGTGTGGGTGCCTGGGGGGCGCCCGCCAGTGCTGCGAGGGTTGGTCCGCGTGCTGAACCGCTCTTTCGAGAAGGTGGTGCACGTGCGGGCCTCACACGACGGCTGGGCTTCTTTCTGCGACCACCCAGCACGCTACGTCCCGCGCAGCCCGCCGGGGGCAGGAGCGGGAGGACCAGGAGCAGGAGATCCCATCTTGGATCTGGGCCTTGGCCTGGGCCCTGGCCAGGTGTCCGCCTCCTCGCCCGACGACGGTGGCCGCACCGACCGCTTTGCCTTCCAGCTGCCCTTTGCTGAGGGCGCGGGCGATGGGGCGCGCCTGGACTTCGTGGTGCGCTATGAGACCCCCGAGGGCACTTTCTGGGCCAACAACCACGGCCGCAACTACACAGTTCTGCTCCGGATTGCACCCGCTCCCATTCCCACTGATGCTGAAGGGCTGCTCCAGCAGCAGCAGCTGGAGCCACAGCCCGAGTGCCAGGGCCCCGTGGAGGCTGAGGCCAGGCAGCTGAAGAGCTGCATGAAGCCGATGAGGCGCAGGTAATGTCTGCCAGCGCCACCTCCGCCAACGCAGGGCTGTGTTTAGGATGGAGGACAAGCATTCCAACAACCCTCAGGCCTGCTCTCCAGGACAGGGAGGAGGGCACGTTCAGTCAGTTAGTCAAAGAGTAATGGAGACCAAACATGTGCTAGTTCGTGTTTTAATTACTGGGGTTTCATTGATTTATTGAGGTCCACTGTAAAGTCCTGAACAAGACAGACATCTTCCCTGCCCTCAAGGTTCATACAAGCTTTTATAATCGTGGTTTGAAAAAACCCACAGGTATATAAGATACATTAACTGCTGAGAGAAAAGTAAAATAGAGTAAGGGGATAGTTCGGGAGGGAATAGCTGCTTTAGGCAGGATGTTTGGGGAGGGCCTTTGAGGGAGTGAATCCTGGATGCTGATAAAGAGTTATGTACAGATATGGGGGGGGGGAGTTGTAGAAAAGGGAACAGGGAGGACTTTCTGAGTAGGTGCTGTTTAAACTGAGCCCTGAATGCTCAAGAGGAATAGCTATGCATATGTAATGGAAGTAAGGGTGTTCTAGGGAGGGAGAACAGCAAGTGCAAAGGTCCTGAGGTGGGAATGAACCTGGTGTGAATGAAGGATAATGTGCTGGAGTGAAGAGAACTGCAGTGATATGGTAGTGTGGACCAAGGGTGTTGCCAGTGGGAGGCGGGGAATCTGATCCCCATTTGATGGAGCAGGAGGCCAGGGTTCCAGAGGAAGAAACTGGTTGAGGAAGTGATGGCGCCTGGCTTTTCCAGTTCAGCCATGTCTGACCTTGAATCCTGTGCACTCTTTCCTGCTTTGCTCTAATATAGTCTGATATCTCCTGTGGAGTTGAGGGGCTGAGCCCCTGCTTTCACAGGCAAGCAGTGCCTCTGGCAGAGGCAGAACCAGATGGGCCTGGACTGGAAGCTCTTGATCTTTGTTTTTGCTGTACCACCTGTGACGGACCATTCAGGTCCTGGGAGAATGAACCTGTTAACCCCAGAAGGTTTTGATATGATTCTCCTAGGTTTTCTTTATCAAGTCGCGAGTTCTTCAAGAGTAACAGCTAGGCCCGATTTTGAGGGGAACCACCTAAGTCTAACCTGGGATAAGTAGATTCTCTGCACTTGTGGGAAATGCATACATTTCCCCGCTCTTGGGAGGACTGGAAATTGGAATGGGAAAATGCTTTTTGGATCTTGTATATGCTTGATCAGAAGCCTCTGGCTGCAGCAAGATGTCTGTGATTCTGGCAGGGTCTTAGGCTGTGAGTGGTTTGAAAGGTCTAGCTTGGGTCTGGTGTGCAGATGTGCCTGGGTAAGTGAGCAAGCAGATAAGTACCCACTTACCATCTAGTGAGCCCCACAGTAACCTGAACAGGGCAGGCAGCAAGGCTGTCCTTACAGTGGTAAGAGTGTGGATTCTGACATCAGTGCCTGAGTTTAAATCCTGGTCCTGTCTATTAGCCTTGTGACCTTGGGCAACTCATCTCACTGCACTGTACCTCAGTACTCTCATCTGTAAAACAGATAATTATTGCACATACTTCACAGGAGACGAGTAAGAGCATTCGGAACTGAGCCTGGCTTTTAGCGGGGCCATATAGGTGTCAATATTAACACTTAGGAAATCACAGACAGTTTCTTGGATTCCGCTCCCTGTCTCTGCTCTGCTCGTCATCAGCTATGTAGCCTTGCATCAGTTTCTTCATCTGTGAGCCTCAGTTTTCCCATCTGCTAAAGGGAAGTGACAGTCACTTTGGTGCTTGGATTGGATGCAGCAAGCATGGGCAAGGTAACAAGCATGGTGGCAGCTTCAAAAGATTGACAGTGGCCAGCATTTACTGATTTCTGTGAAAGCTTCGAGTTTGTTCTTTCGAGTCTTGCTGTGCATGCTGTGTGCTGTAGATGCTATGATTATGCCCATTTAATAGAGGGGAAAACTGAGGTAGCTCAGAGAAGTGAGCCAACTTGTTCAAGTATACTCAGCTAGTGACAGGACCAGGGAGGAGAGATAGGGACTTTTTAAAAAACTACTGTTCCTCTTGAAGGCCTGATAGGATTCAGGGCAAATTCTACATTTTACTCCTGGTGTTTCTATGTTTCCAGCATGTCCTTCTTTCCTTTTATCTTTTTTTTTTCTTTATTGATCTTAAGTGTAAAGCTCAATAGATTTTTACATATGTACGCCTTTGTGAAACCATCACCTAGATCAAGATAATTGAGTTGTTCCAGTGCCCCAGAATCACCTTCATTTCTGTCACTTTTCCCAAGTTGTCATCCCAGGCAGCTGTTGTGGGAGCTCTGTCTAAGACGCGACAGTTTGGGTAGCAGAGTTTGGTCATTTTAGAATGTGAAAGGAAGGGAACAGAGAAATCAAAAGCTTGCAGGGCCAAGGTGGGTGGAGAGGGTGTTTTTCTTTTAAAATACATGGGTGGTTTTAAGGAGAAATTGAAGCGGCCCGTTCAGACAATTGTTTTGGTATCTGGCCCCAGGTCTGTGGTTCCTAACATGACTTGTGATATTATTTTAAGTGGGCAGATGGCTTTTGATAGCTTCTTTATCTTGATCTCAGCTCTTGCAAAGGGGAGGTTGGTGCTCATTGCAAGATCAGCGATGATCAGTGATAAGATTTTCTTTGTAGGTCGGTGGCTTTCTTGGCGAGTACATTTCAACTTATTATTGTTTTAAAACCTGGGTGCTGCCGGTGACATGGAGCGCTGTTGAAGAACAGCCACTCCCTGCGACCCAGCCCTCTTAGGAGGTGGTAGAGGATCTTAGGGGCTAGCCTTCTGTGGAAGCCCTGTCATAGAAGGCTTCCCATTGAGAAAGTGTTGGCTGCAGGCCCATTGTGCACCAGCACAGCCACATCATGTTGGGGCATGGGAGAAGTCTGTGCTAGCCCTTGGGATACAGCTCAGAAACTGAAATGGCTGCATTCCTCAAGTTGCTGGACTAGGCTTTTGATAACCCTCAGGCTTAGAGATGACCCATCAACAAGCATTTATTGAAGGCCTGCCATGTGCTGGACACAGTGCTAGGTTCAAATAAGGCAAAAACTGCAGACTGGTGCTAAGTTGTCAAAGGGTTGGTGGTGGAAGTGGGTGGGAGGGGCAGGGATGGAGGACTTGTTGAACAAGACCTGGCAGAGACCCTGCGGAGTATTTGTGTGCACAGTCTTATCTAATCCTTTCAACGTTCTCTGTGAGAAAGAGTGTTTTCTTCCTTCTTTTCTGGATGAGCAAACTGAGGCTCCCAGAGTCCAGAATCCCAGGGCCGGTGTGGGGAGGAGAGTCTTCCAGGTTTTCCTTGACATACACACTTGGGAAGTGTCCTATTCCTCTTAAAAATAAAGACGAGGAGGGCCTCAGCATGTCCTTTGAGCGCCTCCTGCCTTCTCCCCTAGTCTGGCCTCCAGGTCTACTTGTGTCACCTCACGCCATCCTTTGCCTTCTGAGTTTCTGTCACTAGGGTCTTTCCAAGGTGCTTTGCCCTTTCCTGCCTCAGAGCCTTTGTCCCTGCTATTTCCCTCACCAAGAATGTTGGTCCTGTGCCCCTTGCAGTGCCTCATTTTGATCCTTCAATTCCCCTCCTGGAAGACTGTCCATCCCAATGACCTCAGGCCCAGGTCTTTTTATAGCACTGATCAGCCAAGCAGGCAAGCCCTGATAGAGACTGTCATATAGCAGAGCAGATGAGCATTTCCACAGATCCAGGATCACTTTCCACCCTGCCTGGCAGTCCTACTATATTCTGATCCACTCTTGTCCCTAAAGTGACTCTTTTGAATGTTCTTTACTTTTAGACGTCCTGTTTCAAAAAAACAAGTAGAAACCATAAGAATGAAACTCCCTATGACTTGTATCCCCCAAGCCTGCAAACTGATTTCCCACCTTTGTGTTTCCTCCCTTAGACCAGTCCCCTACTTACACTCTGGGTTACATTTTTCTGCAACTTGCTCCAGAACCTGACCTAATCAGTTACACTTTCTCTTCTGGCAGCTTTTCACTGCCCTCCTCAGCTGAGCCTCTCTATTAGCCTTTATACATGCCAGCGCCTCTACTGTCTTAACTGTATGTCATTTGACCACTTCTGTGCATGCTGCTCCTGGCTAGCGCCCAATCACCCTTTTCTCCTTCACTGTTGACCCATCTCTGAAGAGGTACCTACACCTCTCTACTCACTTCTGCCCCTGCATCTACCAGATTCCACAGGGGTATTTTTGTGCTCTTGAAGTGATTGAGCACTCCTATTTAAAATACTTTCTTTCCTTGCCTTGGAACCACCCTCTGCTGCGTTTCCTCTGAACTCTCTGGCCCTTCTCTTTCTCTCTGCTCTTTTCTTCAGCCTCATATGTATTATCTCAGTACCTCTACTTGGCTGATGTCCCAAAGATGCCTCAAACTCTCCTCGTTCAAGATTGACTCCATCACCTCTTCCATAGAGTCCTGAGCAGCCCCTCACTCCCCAACCCCTCCATTGCTCATTTTTCTTCTAAGCGTCCTAAGCCCTCTCTGACCCTGTAGTCTGGGCCAAGGCTCCTTGTTCTAGGGCATTCTTTCCTTTTCTGAAGGCCCTGGCCTCAGTTTGTACTTAGACGTTCATTAGGGGATTATTGGATGACCCTTTCTGCCCTGCTAGACTGTAAGCTCCGTGAGGGGTAGGGACATGGTCTGCTTTTGTTCACCACTGTATTCCCACAGGGCCTGTCATGGTGCCTGGCACTTAACAGGTGCTCAATAAATGTTTGTTGAAAGAATGAGTGTGAGTATCTTTTTTTTGATATATTCCTGCACACTGACTTGTAAGCCTTCTAGTCGGATTTGCTCACCATTTTGTCTCCAGGGTCTGTCCCTGGGCTGATGCACAGTAAGGCCTCCATGATTTTTAGGTGTACCTGCAGGTGAATGAATGGGGACCTGACTTGCTATCCGAGTTAGCAATTAGGACATCAGAACAATCAAAGTTGAAACAGGACGGGCTAGGGGTCATCTTAGTTGTCTGGAGAGTGAGGATTGTAGTGGGAAAGTGATCCTCTTATTCCATGAAAAACTAGTAGGGCATCATGGTCAAGGATGTGGGCCTGAGGCCACATTTTATGAAAATGGTACAGCCGGGATCTGAGCTGGCAGCTCTTGCTCAGGGACCCCAGTTCTCAACTGCTGTGCCAGGCTGGGTAATGGGTCTTACCAGCTGGGCAAGTTTCCTTCCTCTTCAGAGCCTCAGTTTCAGAAATTGGGAATTTGGAGGGGAGTACTGTTGGTTAAGCACTTTAAAGGCAATTTCCAAATATTTCCTTAATCTGCCAAACAGCTCTCTGAGGTAGGTATTACTTATACCCTCTTCACAATGAGGAAACTGAGGCACAGAGAGGTTAAGTAACTTGCTCTAGGTCACACAGCTGGTAGGTGGCAGAGCTGGGGTTATTCAAAACTACATGTCATGACCCTTTATTGAGATGTGAGATCAGTTTATTGGATTCCAACAAACATTAAAAAACAGCATAGAAAACAATGAGTGCATCACAACATGTAGTAAAGGTAAGTGTTCAAAGAACAACTGGTTTTCAGATATATGTCTATATGTTTACACATGTATGAGCGTGTGCTGGGTTATGATGTAAAATGTATCTCTTACTGTGGGCCACTGCAAAGTGAATAGAGGCATTGCTTTAACAGAAACTCATAGCACAATAAACTGCTCAGCTTCCTTCCTCCACCCTACTGGGTTGTCTGTAAGTTCCAGAACTGACACGCACAGCTGGGGAAGGCAAAGCAGTGCCCCATGTAACTTGGCTTTCATAGCCTCCTTCAAACCCCATTGAAAGCAGATGGCTCAGGGTAACTGGGATTCCAAGTATCTCGGGCAAGTTTCCAAAGCCACCTGTCCCCTTGGAGAGTCAGCATTATCTCTGGGCTGACTGCATGGGAGCTGGAGTCTACTGAGTTTCCCTTTGGGTTTCACTGCATGACCCACTTTGGGCTGGCCAGGTTCTTTGAAAACACGAGTGTTGGGGGATGCTCTCAGAGGACTTGGTGGTGGTGGTAGTGATATGACATCCCTAAAAGTCTGCTTTGCTCTTCTCCATGGGGGTTGTCAGCCATCACTTGCTCACTCACTGTGTGACAATGCACTTTTTTGTTCTGTCTTGGCTGGCCTAGGCTGGGGCCCCCAGCAGCTCTTTCTAAAACCCCACTCCCAGTCTCAGCTGCCATCAGGTCAGAGGCCATTGAGTCTCCTGATGGCAGGAAGACTTCTCACGCCCAGGAGACAGGCGTGCAGGCCTAACATGGCCCCTTCTAGGCCACACTGTCTTGACTAGCTCTCAGGAGAGCACCCAGAAGATGCATGCCCAGGATGCCCCCCGATCTGTGTGCTCCAGCTTGTGACTGCTCATAACCCTTAAGGTGATACCATGTGGCATGTGTGGGGTTGGTGCCAAAAGGGCAGGTTTCCTTCTCAAAAATTAGCAAGCACACTGGAGGTACAGTTTTGTTCTTAATCTCCCTCTCCATTTTTCTAAGAACCCCTTTTCTCTGTTACCGATTAGTGAGTCAGTTTACATTTGTACTCCCATTTCTTTTACTATCCTCCTTTTGATTAAAATCCTAGCTGCCTCCGAATATTTACTGTGAAAGACAGTTCAAGGATAGTTTTTTTTTTAGTGTTTTTTTTTTTTTTAATGGCCCAAAGTTTTGAACTGTCTTCAAAATGGAGCGTTCTTTGGATGTTATCAGAGTGGTGTGTAGTTAGTAGTGTGTATAGACAGTTCCTTGAGCCTCAGTTTCTGCATTTGTGAACAGTTTCTGCAAAAGGAAGGGTATTGCTTTGAAGGATAGATATGAAGGTTTTCAGATGACTTAGGTGTATCAGTGAAAAGGGTCCATGGTGGAGGAGGAGAACTATAGACATTTGTACCTCCTGCTTTCATTTCTCTGATGTCGGAGGAAGGGAGAGTGACCTGTGTACTTCTGCTGACTTCGTGGATCTTGGGATTGGCTGAATTTCTTGACCCAATTTTTGGATGTTCTCCCTCTTCTCACCCTCCCTGGCTGTGGAAGAGATGTTCTGGGGGCAGAAGAGTTGTTATGTCTTTGTTTTTCTTCTCTCTCTTCCTTCAAATGGACCGTGGAGTTCTTTCCCTGCTGGTTGCTGCATGCTGAGTTCCCCCTCTTATCTCTCATATACACCCAGGGCTCTAGAGTGGCTTTTAGAAACCTGATGGTTGTGTACATGCACTGGGCCAGATGGCAGGGGAAGGCTGGCTTAGTCCTGCCCTGGAAGGAGGGTTGCCTCTCTGTTTGTTTGTGGGTCTTAAGGATGCTTGAGAAGACACTAGGAAGATGACATTTTCTTTAATAAAGGACTACATTAGTAAAAGAAGTCAGCAGAAATTGTGTTGGGCCACAAATCCAAAGACCTGGATTTTCAACCTACTCAGGGGACTGGTGCAGGACCAAGCCAGTTTGCTCTAAATCCCCCTTTCTCATCCATGAAGTGCAGGAGATGATGGCTGAGCTCCTAAAGTCACCCACTGTATGCCCTGTAGTCTCTGATTCTGGGAGGTGTGAGCCCCAATCTGTGGAGAAGGAGAGATTGTCCTTTCTGGATCTTCCAGATCCATGTGCATTGTTCAAGCTTCCTCCCCATCTTCCAGACTCGATCCATATGCATTGTTCAAGCTTCCTCCCCAAGAGTGCTAATAAAAAGCAGTTCTTTCAGCCATTTCTGTATCTGGTGGTCTCCTAGCCACATGTCCCACAAAGGCAGGGAAACTGAGAATGACAGTGGGGGCAAAAGGCAGATCGAAAGCAAAGCTTGAATGAAGGTGGAGAGAGGGATCTTGTCCATTATTGCTGCTTCCTATCTACTCTGGAAAGGATTGGAGATGGGGCTGTGGTAAGATCCCAACCTCCCTCGTCAGTTTGTTGGTTGAGAGCACAGACTTAGGAGCTGAAAGGCCTAGGTTTCTATCTGCATGACTGAGCTGTTTACTTGGCTTCTGTTTCATCATCTGTAAGATAAGGATAAGGATAAGGATAATAATACTGTCTACTTCAAAGGAATAAAAGTATCTCATAGGGTTCTCATGAGAATTAAGTGAATACATGTGAAGCTATGTGAAGCTATGCTATGAAGTACCATAGTAAGCAATATATTCAGGTCAGCTAGTGATAATTCTGTTTCTATAGGTAATTGTGAAGATAATTGATTATATGTTTTCAAAAAAGTTGCAACCACTTCCGGAAGTGTCAATATCATACTGTTACTTCTTAGAAAGAAAAAACATCTGAGCTATTGCCTCAGCTCTTCTCAGGTCTCCACATGATTTTAGTTTATGGTTCCCTCATTGGAAACAGCTGATACTCATGAGAACAATGATTTCCACATGATCCTCGTGCCCTCACCTGTGGTAGGGACTGGGTGAAATACACTTGGTTTCTGCCACTCAGACCTTGGGTCAGACTTGCCTGGCGAAGGAGGAAAAGACCAACAAATACTTATTCAGCCCCTGCTCTGTGCTAGGCCCTGGTGTCTAGCTTGAAGTCCTCATTTCCCATGACTGCCCTGTGCTTGGTGTACACATCCTGGCTCCTCTGTGCTCCGTTTTAAGATGAGGAGGTGAGGTTCAGGAAGGTTAAGTATACTGCCGGGCTGATACAGTGATGGGTGGAGGGTTGGCGGAGGGACCTAGGCCTCTGTGACCTCAAATCACTGCCTTTTTTTCTGACCTTCCCGTTTTCCATTTGCTTCCTTCCTTCCTGTTGCTGTTTCCTGTGCCCCACAGTCCTCACTTGCCATTTCTTGGAAAAGATGGTTTCCTCCACAGCCAGAAATATACCCTAGAGAAATAATCCAAAATGTTCATTAAGCTATGTCCAATGGTGTCTGCTGAAGTCTGCTTTGTGAGAGCAAGATGAAAAAACAACCTAGCTGTCCAGTAGGAAGGGAATGACTATGTACGTTAAGGTCAGCCCATGTGATAGAAGCAGTAAGCAGCCATTTCAGATGGTTACAAAAGTATATAATTCTGCTGCTTACTGTTAAATGGACAAAACCAGCTGCAAAATTTTGCCTGTAGAATCTAAATGATTCGTAGAATGTGTGGAATGAAATTTTCCAGAACAGTAATGGTGGTTGCCTCTGGCTGATGCATGACTTTTCTCCTGCTTCCTTACACGTTCCTGTATTTCGTCAGTTTCCTAGTGAGTGTGTTGACTTTATGACCAGAGGATAGAGAGAGGCAGCAGAAGAGAAACTGCAGCTATCAGGTGAGGGTGGGCCAGCAGAGAGGCTCAGAAAGTGCCGGTAGGTGGCAGAACTGGCCTTTCAGGGCATCAGATCCATGCATTTTCTCCTCCGCCCCACAGGCCTAACGAAGAGCTGAAGATGAAGAGAGCGGACGATAATACCCCTGCTGTGGGTAAGCAATTGGCAGGCTGTGGGAGTTTTAGCTTATATTTACCATTTCTATCTTCCTCGCCTTTCTCCATAAATTAAGAGGCACCCTCTGCCTTAGATTGTCACAGAAAGCTTCAGAGGCAAATCTGACAACTGGCTAGAAGCATATATTTTCTTAATCAAAGCAGGCCAGTTCATATACTTGCCTGGCCCCAACGCTGTCCTCCTCTTTCCAGCAGAGCGTCCTGATGTCCAGGAGACAGTGGGTCCCTTGGTGGCCCCCACACCTCTCCGTCCATGGCCCCAGATGACACTTCAGGTAAGCAGACCTGGCAGCCTCTGGATGAACTGCCCGATGAGAGGCTGGGTGGTGGGGGCTGACTTGCTCCGGGTCAACCCAGGTAGGAGTTTGTTGCTGTTTAGTCGCTAAGTTGTGTCCAGCTCTTTGTGACTCCATGGACTGCAGCACACCGGGCTTCCCTGTCCTTCACTATCTCTCGGAGTTTGCTCAAACTCATGTCCACTGAGTCGGGGGAGACCCCCAAGTCAGAACTTGGTGGCGGAAGGGTAGAATGCAGTTATTTGCCTGGGCTTATAGAAATGTCATTTGTTTAGCAAATGTTTATTGAGTGCTTGCTCTGTGCCAAGCACTGTTACGGACACTGGTAACACAGTAATGACCAAAAACACTGTCTTCATGGGGCTTACTTACATTTTAGTGGAATGAGACATGATAAAACAAAGTAGTAGTTAAAATATATGGAATTTTACCAATTAAAAAACAAATTTTAAAAGTACGGTATTTTAGATGATGAGTGCTAAGGAAAAAAAATAAAGGGATAAGGAGAGAGAGGGTGTGGATCTGTGTGTGGGAGGGGGGTTTAGAGGAGGGGAGATGTTTGCAACTTCAGATTGGGTCGCCAGGGAAGGCCTTAGTGGTCAGTGAGATTTGAGTGAAGAGCTGAAGAAAGTGAAATAGTGAGGCATGTGGATAACTAAGGGAAGAACATCTCAGGCTAGTGCAAAGTCCCCAACCAGGGCTGTGGCTAATATGTGTGAGGAGCGGTGAGGAGGTCAGTGCAGGGGAGCGGCAGGAGGTGAGGTGGGAGAGGTTGGGGAGGACAGATGGTGTGGGACCTCAGGGGCTGTGGAGAGGACTCTGGCTTTTACTCTAAATGGCAGGGGAACAGAGTGGGGCTGTGATCTGACTTAGGGTTTAGCAGGTTCCCTCTGGCTGCTTTGAGGAAAATAGACTGTGGGGTTGAGGGCAGAAGCTGGGGGGCCCTTAGGAAGAGGAGGTTACTGCAGTGGTCCAGGTGAATGATGCTGGTGCTGGCAGGGAGAGAGATTCTAGAGATGTAAGTGTGTGTGTGTGTTAACTTTTTATTATAAAGATTTTCAAACGTATCAAAGTAAAGAAACCAGGAATTCCCTGGCAGTCCAGTGGTTAGGACTCCATGCTTCCACTGCACGGGGCATGGGTTTGATCCCTGGTCAGGGAAATTAAGATTCTGCATGCCATAGGAGCAGCCAAAATAATAATAATAATAAGGAAACTAGTATAAGGAATCCACATATCACCCAGCTTCAACAAATTATAGCACATCCATTGCTACTTTTTCTATACTCCACCCACCCCTTCTTCTTGCCTTCCCTGTGAAATTATTTTGGAGAAGATTTAGACATTATGTCATCCACGAATACTTCAGTTTGTATTTCAGAAAATTAAGCACTCAAACCCCCCCCCCACAATGCATTGTTCCCCCTCAGAAGATTAACAGTAATTCCTTAGTATTACCAAATATTTAGTCAGTGTTCAAATTTCCTTATATTGGAAGTGTTTTAGGGTCCAAACAAGGTCAACACATTGCATTTGGTTGATGAGTCTTTTTAGAATTTTAAATCTATCTTACAATTTGTTTGTTGAAGAAGACTTGTTTGGCCTATAGAGTTTCCCACAGTCTGGATTTGGCTGATTGCATCCATGTGGAAACACATTTCTACTTTATTTTTATTAATTTATTCTATTTGATCTAACTCCGGGAGTTGGTGATGGACAGGTAGGCCTGGCGTGCTGCGATTCATGGGGTTACAAAGAGTCGGACACGACTGAGCGACTGAACTGAACTGAATATTAGATTTAATTAATTTATTAATCTATTAATTTTTATTAAATAAATTTATTAAATCTGTTATTAAAGCAAGTTAAATAGAATCAATTCTATTTACTTCTATTTCCATTTTATTTATTAGCTGGAATTTTTCTCTAAAGAAAGGCTTTTGCACATCAACTATTTGGCTACCTTGAGCATATATACATTGAGGATATATGTAGTTTGTATAGAAAAAGCTGGATAAATATTTAAAATTTTCCCTTTCATTTACCAGTTTTCAGAAGAAATGAACAGCAAAGGTGACCAATTAGGGATTTAAGTTTTGGGGTGGCATTATTAATATAATGAATTTTAAACATATTTGATGAGTTTCAACCCATTGCACCTATTTATTTATTTTGATAATAAATTGAACTGCATAAGTTGAACTGTCTCTGGCCAGTGGGAGTTTATTTTCACTGGCTTCAGACTTGTTATGACACATCCCCAACATTCTTTGAGCACTTTCTCACATTCTGGTATGTCAATATGTCACAACCTCGTCTTGTGCTTTTCCTGCCCCAGACTTGAAAACAGTCATTTATTTCAGGATCCCTGGTTCCTTTTAGTGGAGAATGGTATTTAGAAACCAAGATCTGGGAGCTAGGAATGCTTGTTGCTACTAGACTGGTCATTGTTTCTAGGCCTTGTCAAAAGACAGTGCTAGGAAATACAATTTTTTTAAAGAGAAAATACATGAATTCATATGGATGTCCTGGATATGTTTTGGAGGTCAACCAATAGTTTTTACTGATAGTTGTTCACCAAATATTGGTGCCCACTGAATTCCTTAGCTTTATGATCTGCAGGGAGTTCCCTTTTATTCCATCTATTTTAATATAGGCATAGTCTTAGGAGTTAAGGAAATTATAGTTCTTTAAGGAGTTTTCATCTGGAAACACTTGTGGGGCTGGGTGCAGGCTGTCACCAGTTCTCACTGTCTCTGCTTGTTTCCCTGCCTCCCCTGCCTCTTCATTCCCTTCCCTTTCTCTCCCCTCCCACCTCCTCCCCTCATGGTTTCCAGGTTTCTGAAGTTACACTGGCTGGCAGACCCCCAGAGGAAGGTGATGTCACCAGAAGCAGCCCGCCTGTGACTTTCACAGAGGTTCCCCAGGCGCCGGCCATCAGGATTCCCCTCTCTTCCTCTCTCTGCGGCCTGGGTCGCTCTCCCCGGGACCAGGCCTCGGGGCCCGATGCAAGTGAGGGGGCAGCTGGGCCTCTTCTGGAACCGAGCCAGCGACAGATGGAGGCCACGTGGGAAGTATCCAGCGAGAATGGAAGGGGCCGAAAAGAGCCCTTAGTGGGAGCTATCATGGACGAGCCTCCCAGGGGGCTGGAGGTTGTGAGTGGGTTGGAGGAGCTGCTTGGAGAGGACACCATCGACCAGGAGCTGGAGCAGCTCTACCTGTCCCACCTGAGCCGCCTGCGGGCTGCTGTGGCTGCTGGTGGGGTGGGAGGTGGTGGGGAGGGCCCCATAGATGGAGGGGTGTCCCCCAGCCATCCCCTGGGCATACTCACAGACCGCGACCTGATCTTGAAGTGGCCTGGCCCTGAGCGGGCCCTGAACAGTGCCCTGGCTGAGGAGATCACGCTGCATTATGCCCGGCTGGGGCGCGGTGTGGAGCTCATCAAGGACACTGAGGACCCTGATGAGGAGGGGGAGGGGGAAGAGGGACTCTCCATCATACCCTCCAGTCCAGAAGGGGACACCCCTAAGGAATCACCTCCAGAAATCCTCTCAGGGGCCCCTTCTGTGGTAGCCACTATGGGAGATGTGTGGCTCCCATGGGCAGAGGGTTCTGGATGTAACAGCCCCGTGGTTCTGGGTGTAGAGGGTCAATTCAGTGGGGCTCTAGAGAAGGGGATGAGCAAGGACTCTGACTCTTTGCATGTGAATAGGATGATATCTGGGGTGACTGGGTTCTCAGGGGCCACAGAAGCCCAGATGGAGTTTACCAGTGGGCTGGGAGACAGGTTGATTTCTGTCTCTGGCCAGGAGCCAGCCGCTCTAGTCCTGCAGGGGCAAGATCTCTCCCTCCTTGGTCCCTTAGGGACTGAAGTCTGTCCTTCCAGCCTGGCCAGGCCCCAAGTAAGCCCCCAGGATGAAGGGGGTTCAGGCCCAAGCCTTGAGCCCCCAAAGAGGTCTCCTACCCTGGCAGACCCTGCAGAGAGTGTGTGTCTATTGCCTCCCCAGCTCTGGGGACCCCTGACCCAGACTCTGGGGGTCCTAGCTGTGCTGGTGGTGGTCCCTGTGGCTCTGAACAATGGTATGTCCCTCCTGGTGCTTGCACTGTGCCTCTCTCTGGTCTGGTTCTTGTAGGAGCTGCTTGTGAGATGAGCAATAACAGGTTTCCCCTCTCTGGGGAGGGGCAGCCCCTGCATCACCCCCCCCTCCCCAGAGGGTTCAGATGGGATGTGTGGTCTGTTCAGTGAACAGTCCTTTGCTTCTGAGAATGCTCGACTGGAGAGAGGCCTCTCTGTCCCTCAGCTCTCCAGTCAGTACAGGGTTCCTTGTGGCAATACCAGTGGCGAGAAGTGGCATGGGGGGATGGTATAAGAACTTGCAGAATGGAATTGGGCATGTCCTCCCCTCCCACCCCACCCTCAAGCCTGTATTTATTTTTGTATAATTCTCTGGTTGAGGGAGAGTGGTCATGAGCTGGTCTTGGGGCACAATTACCCAGAGATGTATTTATTAACAGCCAACCTGTGCAACCTGCTGGAGCTTTATTTTTAATTTAATTTATATAGAGTACCTATTATTATACGCCACAATAGAACTCTATGAGAAACGATGTGTCTGTTGTGCAGTGTTTTCCTCTTTGGGCCTAAATGTGCAGGGTGGCCACGATCTGTGGAAGGACCACAGTGGAGAGTGGGTGGGGGTAGATGGGTGGGGTGGGATATGGTCATACCTGCTGCTGCTGCTTCAATATGTCCTTGAGGTTCTTTGTCACCTCACCTTATGGTACTAATGTGTAGTCTGGTGGTCTTGCGGGAGTGGGGCCAGATCCTTTGGTCTTTTCCACCTTCTGCCAGGGAGGGAGGAAGAATGGGGGCCACATGAGTGTTTGATGTCACACATAAGACTCTATGACACATGGCCAGCTGTGGATGAGGGGATATTGGTTGTGAATCAGCCACAAAGTTTTGAGGTTAATGAAAAACAAAAACAGCCTTTGACACTAACAGGGAGAGCCCTCTGCCCTCAAGATTGGGATGGCCTCAGAAAGAACAGAGGACTTAATATGTCATAGTAGAGTTGCTGTCCAAGACATTGCATTCTAACTCAAAACTGGAAATCCAGAACATTTGAAAAAAAGGATAGATGTATATACTGCATGCAAATGAAAAACTCTATATAGCAAAATAAAACACCATATATTTATTTACTTGCCTTCACAGCAAAACTTTATGTCATCTTTCTTTAGTCCTTCTCCAGGGCTCCAGTGCTTTTCTGAAACAGCCCCAATTGGATTTTTTTGCCTAGCCACTTCAGCAAAAGTGCTGAAGACACTGATGATACTCACATTATGCTATTGACAGACCTATGCTATCTCAGACCTCATCTTACTTGATTGATTGACAGTATTTGACACAGTGGACCATCAACTCAACCTTGAAATCCTTTCTTCACTTGGTTTCCAGGATACCACACTCTTGTAAGTTTTCCTCTTTCCCCACTGACCACTCTTCTAGAACAGTACCTGGCACATAGTAAGTGTTCAATAAATACCTTTTGAGTGAAATAAGTGAACAAACAAATGTATGTGGGGCAATACAGAGACGTAGCTAGAGAACTTAGCTGATCGTTCAGTGGTTACAGCTCACTTCAGCTCCACAAGTGTTGATGTGTGCTCTGCTCTAGGACATAGAGGAAGGGGCCCACAGTCTAGTGGGGGAGACAGACACAGAGGAGGTTAATACCACAGTGTGGTTAGAGCATTAGCAGCAATGGATCCAGTGAGCTGTGGGGGCCCTAGGACAGATGCTCAGTCCAGTGTAGGGACTCTGAAAGCCTTCTTGGAGGATGTGGTGCCTGAGCTGCATTTTGAAAAACAAGAAATGGGAAGTTTGTGGCAGTTCAGTGGTTTGGCACTTTCACTGCCACAGCCCAAGTTCCATCCCTGGTCAGGGAACTAAGATCCCATAAGCCACTTGGCACACAAAAAAGTGAACAAAACTAACAATAACCCTCCATTTCCCCTACAAAACAAGAAGGAATCCAACATGTGATGAAGGGAAGAGAGGGCAGTCCCATCAGAGGGAATAGCATTGCTGAGGTCTGGAAGTAGAAAACAGCTTGTTGCTGTTCAGTTGGTAAGTTGTATCCAACTCTTTGTGACCCCATGGACAGCAGCACACCAGGATTACCTGTCCCTCACCATCTCCTGGAGTTTACCCAAGTTTCTCTGCCAAGAAAACAGCTGTGTGTGCTGTCACTTCAATCATGTCCGACTCTTTGTGACCCCATTGACTGTAGCCTGCCAGGCTCCTCTGTCTATGAGATTTTCCAGGCAAGAAAACTGCAGTGGGTTGCCATTTCCTTCTCCAGGGGATCTTCCTGACCCAGGGATCAAACCTGTGTCTCCTGTGTCGGCAGGAGGATTTTTTCAACACACCCATATTTCACCTTTTAATGAGAATACTCTGACTTTGTTAAGTATCAAGTTTAGACATGTACCTTGGCCTTCCACTGATGTGATAATTTGCTCAGTGTCCAAAAAAGAAACTTTATGCCAATTGGGCTGAAAAATTAGGTAAAATGGACAAATCACTCGCAGACATATAACTTGCCAAAACTGTCTCAGATGGCTTCAGTGGTAAAACGCTCTGAGGAATAATAAAAATGTGCAATAATTATAATAATAATTCCAATTTTATAAAAGCAATTCTAGATTGTAGAAAAAGAGGGAGCATTTCTAATTCACTTTATGGGGCTTATATAACCCTGATACTAAAACCTTCTGAGTGAAAAAAGAATATTAATGAGATATTAATTAGAAAATAGATGTGAGACTTCCCTGGTGGTTCAGTCACTAAGACTCTGCACTCCCAAAGCAGGGCCCCAGTAACTAGATACCACATGCCACGACTAAGACCTGAAGCAGACAAATAAATAAATATTAAAAAAGAAAATAGATGTTTTTTGTAAAGTAATTAGCCTCCAACTAATAAAAATAAATGAAAAAAAAGAAAATAGATGTAAATGTTTTATATTAAATAAAAACTTTCTTTGTTCAGGCTACTATAACAAAATAGTGTAGACTAGGTGGCTAATAGACAACAACATTTATTTCTCACAGTTCTGGAGGCTAGGAAGTTCAAGATCAAGTTGCTGGTAGATTTGGTGTCTGGTGAGGGCCAACTTCCTGGTTCATGGATGGCTCTCTTCTTGCTGTGTCCCCACACAGTGAAGGAACAAGGATGCTCTCTGGACTCTCTTTTATGAAAACACTAACCCCACTCATCACGGGCTTCCCTGGTTAATCAGCTGGTAAAGAATCCGCCTGCAATGCGGAAGACCTGGATTTGATTCCTGGGTTGGGAAGATCCCCTGGAGAAGGGAATGGCTACCCCCTCCAGTATCTGGCCTAGAGAATTCCATGGACTGTATAGTCCATTGGGTTACAGAGTCAGACATGACTGAGCGATTTTCACTTTCTCATTTTTCAATCCCGTTCATGAGGGCTCCACTTTCATGACCTAGTCACCTCCCAAAGACAAGACCTCTTGATACCCTCACATTGAGGATTAGGTTTCAACTTCTGAATTTTGAGGGGACACAAACACACGGTCTATAGTTATATTGAGTGACTAACACACACACACACACACACACACACACACACACATACAGGATGCCTGCCATCACCATTTCTGCTCAGCATCGTACTGGAGGGCCTAGCAAGCACAGTAAGGCAAGGGAAAGAAATGAAGTACAGAATTGCCATTATTTGTAGATGATGCGTGTGCGCATGCTCAGTTGCTTTAGTTGTGTCCGACTCTGAGACCCCATGGACTCTGTAGTCCACTAGGCTCTTCTGTCCATGGGATTCTACAGGCAAGAATACTGGAGTGGGTTGCCATGCCCTCCTCCAGGGGATCTTCCTGACCCAGGGGTGGAACCTGGGTCTTCTGCATTATAGGCGGATTCTTTACCACTGAGCCACCAGGGAAGCCCCATTTGTAGATGATACCACTGTATATTTAGAAAATTCAAAATAGTCCATGGATAAATTATAAGAATTATTAAGAGTTTAAGATTTCTGGGACTTCCTCGGTGGTCCAGTGGTTAAGACTCTGTGCTTCCACTGCAGGGGCCACAGATCTGACCCCTGGTGGGGGAACTAAGATCCCGCATGCTGTATGGTGAGCCCCCCCCCCCCCCTCCAAAATGAGAATTTTAAGATTTCTGATACAAAATCCATATTTAAATATCTACTGCTTTTATATGCTAACAACAAAGAAAATTTTAATAAAGATACCATTTGTGAACTTCTTAGGAATTAACAAAAGAAGCCAACATTCTTGGGAAAAATATAAAAGTTTATAGAAAGAAATTTTAAAATACTAAATAGATATACATATTTATCAAATGGAAGAATCAATGTCATAAAGCTCTCAGTTCCCTCTAAACTGTTTTATAGGTTCAATACAAATAAAGTCATGATTTCAATAGATTTGTGTCTGTGTATCATAATGAGACGATTCTTAAATTTATGTGGAAGTTCCAACAAGTCAGGGCACCTATACTTATTCTAAAGGTATAGCAATTAAGATGGTATGATATTGCTGCAAGGGTAGACAAAGAGACCAATGAAAGATAGTGGTCTCAGAAACAGACCCACTTGTATGTTGACAGAGAATATGTGGCCAAGGAGGTACTGTGAGATCAGACTTCCAATATGGTTAGACTTCTAATAAATGGAACAATCTGTTTTCCATATTGAAAAAATGAAATCGGATCCCTACCTCACAACACAAATAAAAATAATGCTAGATGGATTGAAAACCTAAATGTGAAAGACAAAAACAAAGAGCTTCAAAACTTTAATATAGTATATAGTTTTTCTTAAGACAGAAAAAACACTAACCATAAATGACAATTATAAAACATTCAATTACATTAAGAATGTCTATAAATCAAAACTACCATAAAGAGAATGAAAACCACAAATTGGGGCACAAATTGGGAGAAGATAACTGAAACACATTTAACTGATCAAAGACTCAAATGTAGAATATATAAAAACTACAAATAGAAAAACCAAAAGTGCCATGAAGTGTGTAAATAGTTTATTTGTAGAATGGAATACTGTGCAATGAGAATGAAAGATCTATGAATACATAGAACAGCCTGGATGAACCGCACAGATATGCTGTTGAGCAAAAGAAGTCAAACATAAATGCTTACACACTGTATGACCCACTTACACAAAATTCGAAAACAGGTAAAGCAAATCCATTACTACTGGTAAAATTATAAAGAGAATCAAGGCAATAATACAAGACATAATAGTGTTTACTTCTGGAGGAGGGAAGAATATGATTGGGAAGGGATCCAGAGGACTTCTGGAATGTGGATAATGGTCTACTGCTTGATCGGGGTGGTTGTTCATGGATGTGAAATTCATTAATATTCATTAAGATGAACATTTCTCAAGTAAAAAAAAAAAAAACACCAAGGAAACAACTAAAAAATGCAGTGAGGAGTAGGAGTAATGTGACTCTCTGGGACTCCTCCACACAGGCTCTGAGCCACCCCAGTTTCCTTGTCTAGACCACGCAGTGTA